AATGTAAATATGGATTGACAACGGTTTAACCATGTTCTGAAGGCATATACGTGTAGAAGGGAGGGGTTGAGGGGGGGTCGTGGTGAACTTTGGGGGCTCCGTATGATCATGAGGGGGTAGGGCGGGTGGGGGCTCCGTGGGTCATTTTGGTCAAAAATGTCGCATTTCACCCAATCACCAAAAACTCATCGGATTTCGACGAAGCTCGACGCCGCGGTCACGCCCAAAGTTGTTTCACTTTCCAAATCGTTTTTTTTCGAAAGATATCGCGAAAATCAAGATTGTGAATATTTGCCCGAACGGACCATAGAGTACTACACTTGCTTTTTCCGTGTATTTTTTCGCATACAACTACAACCATCCAGGGTCACACAGGAGGCGGTAAGCACCAGGGCTTTTTTCTTCTTTTTAGGAGTTTTTTCCGCGCGCGAAGCGCGCGTGCGAAAATAAAAACGGAACGATAGCGGAGTTTTTTTTTCGCAAAAAAAACTGTTTTAGATGGGTCCTTTTGTTTCCCCGCCTGGATTCTGCGCACGTTGAATAACACCATCTGTCAGCCCGACCCCTGAATTAATTACTGTTCTCAAATTGATGTCCATGTGTGTGTGTGTGTGTGTGCTTTTATTATTAGCATCGACCGCGCTAACCGGCTGCCCAATGAAAAGACGTCAGTCTCAGTGCGGCGGGAAACACAAAATGTTATTTTTATTATTATTATTATATTATTTGCCATCCGACAAGTATAGGTGTAGACTATGAAACGAAACTCTCACTCAACTAGTATAATATCAACTAATTTCCGAAGATAAATATGTTCCAATATCAACCAGTATTCGATCTCTCTCATGCTCCAATACAATCTTGTCACCCATGTGTCTTGTCGCATATGCATATTATGTGAAAACACCAAATTCAACTGAACTCCTCTCTCCCCTACAATACTTGAAGTAGACATACGGTGAATACTTAATCTTCGATCCAAGCCAACTTACTCATTGTTGTAAAACCGAACGAAAAAAATCGAAAACAATATTCTTTCTAACTACTACTACTGTTCAT